TATATATTAATATAATAAAAAATTTAACTGATAGATTAGAAAAATAAATAAAACATTACAAAAAATTTGCAAATAATTAATGATAATACAAAAATGATACAATATTGAATGAAGAAAAAAGAAAAAACGAAAAATAATTATTTTTTATATGATAAGTTATTATTATTATATATAAATTTAATATTATTTCTTCTATAGATACAATTTCTTGTCATTAATCATAATTTTTTTATTGGATTTGAAACTTAATTCTAATCAATATATATAATCTTAATGAATTAATTTTTATATATAAAATATTTGATTCTTTTTTTAATATTCTTGAATATTAAAAAATCAGAAAAATCTTTTTAATTAATCTTAAATTAGAACAAATTTTAATTATTGCTTGTTAAAAATATTTTATAAATCATAAAAAAAATGAAATATTTAAAAGAAAAATTATACTTTCACAATAATGATTTTTAAATATTGCAAATTTAATTAAAAATATTTTATATCTTGTTAAAATACACATATAAAAATCTGTTAATTTTATATAATTCTAAATATTACATACAAAAATTATGATTATCTATTGTAAGATCTTATTGATTATACTACAATCTGTCGAATCATAATAGACAAGCTAGTATGATATAACATTAAATTTGAAATATTTTATAAATGATTTTTTCTTTAAATATTTATATATTTGATATTATATAAATTTATATAGTAAATTATATAATAAATTCTTATGAAAAAAATATTTTTTTATAAAATATAAAAATGACAATCAATTAAGATTATTTGGATATTGATACTTTTTATAAAGATAACTTTTTAAAATTATATAAAATTATATAATTATATAAAATATAATACTTTGATATTCATATAATCAAAAAATTATTATTATTTTTATGTATATAATATATATATACTAATATATAGTTTTCACATAATACTTTATTTTTGAACAATTTTGTAAAAATGTGTATGTATTTTTATAAAATCTAGTATTTTTCAAAAAATAATGAATCAATTTTTTAATTACTTTTCCGAATTATGTTTAGAATAAGAAACTTTATTAAAAATATTTAGGATATTGCAAATTTTTATATTATAAAAATAGCATAATAATATTAATTTTTATACAACTTTTTTTTTGTATTTGTAGAATGCCATCATGATAATGAAATACGACCAAGAGATCCTATTCGATGCAGAGAATGTGGATACAGAATCATGTACAAAAAACGAACTAAAAGACGTATCCTTTTCTAAATAAAAAAATGATAAAAATTATTAAATATTGTTGGTAATAAATTATTTATATTTATATTAAATTTATTTTTATTTTTTTATATATATATATTTATATATATTTATTAAATTTATTTATATTAAATTATTTATATTATTTATAATATACGTTTATATATAATTATAAATATAATAATTAATTTTCCTTAATAAATATTTAGTTGTTGTATTTGATGCACGATAAATGTAAGGATTAAATAGTTTTTAATAAAATACTCACAATTATATTAAATTAAGTATATATTTATTCCCAATCCATGTAATTCATAAAATTGTACTTTTTATATTTGTGATATTATTTTAAAAAATAATCATGATTGAAATATATTGATTCAAATATTTTTCATAGTTTTTTTTGATAAATTTAAGAAATTTTTAATTTCTTTATTTTATTTACTAAAATATTATTAATTATATATTAATGCAAATCACATAATATAAAACATTTTAAGCAATATATGTTTTTATTTACAATAAATAAATTACATTTTTATCAGTAATTCAACAGAGTCACAGAATCAGGAAGAAAACTGATGGCAATACTAGCAAAACGTTAGCATTCTCACATTTCATAAAAGCCGACATATTTTTATATATATTGTATAAAGTTTTAATACGGTCCCATTATATTATGATAATTACTAGCAGAAGCTTAATTGGCCTCTATTAAAATACTTTTTCACTAATAAATTTTTGAATTTAAAATGTTTCATTATTGTAGCATTTCTAACTATAAAATATAATACATAGTTTTTGTATAAGCATAATTTAGATTATGTGCCTGGAAAAGTATTTATAAAATCTCTAGTAATATACATAAAATATTAGTTTGTCAACTATTTATAAATATTACTGTCAATGACATTCATAAAATTTAAATCATTTATGAACATAAACAAATTTTTTTTAGAAATTCAAAATAAAATGAAAATCATTTTTTTCTTAATAATTTTGAAAGATCTTGTTAAAAAAATAATCTAATCAAAAATATGTTAGTTTAGAACTTGTTTGTTTTACGATTTTTTAATACTGATTTTGGAAGGAGCCAAGCCAACTTTTATAAAAATTATATAAATTAATTTTGCATTATCGAGCAGTCGCGACCAATCAGATCACAAAAAGATAAATCAGAAAATAGAACTTGGCGATCAAACTTAATGATTAAAAAGTATTATTATCACAGAGATTGTCGAATTAAATGAATATTGGATTATTGAGAGGATTACTATAAGGAAAGAAAACATTAGATATATTCTTTATTGTAAGAAAATTATATAAAAGAAATATTCATGGAATTTTTTTTTAAAGATAGATTTCATGATTGGCACAATCATTAAATATTATATTATAAATAATCTTTAAAAAGATTCAGTTTCTAAAATAAATATTTATATGTCAAAATTCATTTTATTAGAAGTGTCTTGGATAAAAGTTATTTATCATATATACATTCAATTTATTTAATATATTTCATTGATCGTCATGTTCAATAATATGTTTTCAAAATTGTAATAATTAATAGCTGCGATTATGTGCATATGAGTTTACTAAATATATTATTTTGAATTTTAAATTGCGACTAGTCGATAATGTGTAGCGATAATGATCATATACAAACCAAAGCATTTTATCATTTATAGTATTTTTTTTCTTTATTCAAAAAATATATTATTAAGCACAGTAATAACAAATAAACAAACAATAAAAGAACTTATTCTTTGTGTTAAATTAATGAATTTTAAAAAATTTATTAATATTTGTTTTTAAAAAAAATTAATGCCATACAATCTATATTTTATTAACATTAAGTTAATAGCTAACTATTTTTTTTTGTTTTTTTAATAGATATAAAAATAGGAAGAATTTGTAACTAATTTATAATTTTTTTTTTCTTTTTTTTTAATACATAAAACATAATAAACTATTTTCTTTCAAAATGCTTTTTTAAATTTTTTAGAAATTTTTAATAAGTAATATTATTTATAAAATAATATTCTAATATCTAGGCACAAATATTGAATTAAATATTTTTTTATTTGGATTGTATATTTATTAATATTTAATAATATGTAATAAATTTAATTTATTTATTACATATTATTAACATATTATTAACATTATTAATAATATGTAATAAAATTAATTTAATTTTTTTTAACCAATATTTAATATATAATTTTTTTTTTAAATATATATTTCTTTTTTTGTAAATGTGATTTTAAAATTAATAATATGATAATTCGCCAAATTTCTTTTAAAAATTATATTTTTGATATAATAATTTCAGTGACACTAATTACTATAAATGATAAATACTTTGCATACATTAAATAATATTATATGTACCAAATATGTACAGAAATATTCTAAAATTCTTTGTTTATTTATGTGTTTGTGTATAATTTGTAATCTAATTTATTTTAAAATAAGATTTATATTTTATCAGATTAATTGTACAAACAATAATATAACGAACTTGAATTTCATATATTAATTGTGTTATATATAAAAATTTTTTATTTGTGTATTAACACAAAGTGGACTTACGTAAATTGTAAGTATTACATAATAGTTACGTATAAATTATCTAAAAATATTTGCAAATTACAATAGAAAAAATATGTTATTTAATATACTTGCAATGTTTGTTTTTTAATAGGATAAAGTTTATCTTACGAGGGAAGAACCCCAACTTCAATTTTAATATGCTTTTGTACAATGATAGTATATAGATTAATAATATATGTAAATATTAGTAATATAAATTTAAAATAGATTTTCAAATGACTTAATTCGCATTTGATTTCATTCCATCATCCATTATCAATTCATCATCATCAATTTATAAATATGATATTGTATGAATAGCATTCCACGAAATATTTTTCAATATCAAGTAGTTTTTCCAGATAAATTAAAGAAAGAAAGAAATGCAAATATAATAAACAATTATTTATTATAATGTATCGAAATTTCTCATGTTTCGAATATATGTATATGATAATTACGATTTAGAATTATGTATAACGTAACTATAAATAAAATTATAATTTAATAATCTAATAAAAAATTATTTATATTTTTAAAACTATTGAATATCTATTTCTAATATTTTACATGTATTATAATTATCAAAACTTTATAATATTGTACAAAAGCAATAAAATTAAAGACGATCAGTTAAATTCTTCTCTTGTTAGATCAAATTGTTTATTATACTGTACGTACACAAATGATAAAAAGTAGATATTTATGATTTCTTAGATCTAAATTAATAGATTTGATATGTAAAGAATTTTCTGTTATGTATGCTTCTTAAAATTTTTGATATTTTTACAAAAAATAATTATTTCGAAAATATATTGAGAATAATATTTTGAAAGAACTATCTTAATTATCACATGAGATATAGTTCAAAGATGAACATTAAACTATTTAAAATTTGGTTTTAGCTGTATTCCAAAATTTGTTTCTTTCATAGAATTTTTTTTTTAATATTATTTATTAAATATTATTTATTTTATATTTTCAATGAAAAAGTTGTGTTTTGTTTATCTTGTTATTTCTTCAAAATATAAATATTGTTGGCTTGGCATTGTGAACATACATACATACACTCTTTAAAAATTCATACATGATTTAATTGGTTTGTATTAGAATGAATATACATCAAATATGTCAAACTATACCATATTGATATTGTTTGGCGATATTTCATCTGGACCTCATATATATGATTGTGCGATTATTCAATTTGTCTCCTATTTTGTCTCAAGCACGTTTAGGTACAAATTGTGATAATCAAAATTTGATTATGCAATAGGAAAGACAAGTTGTGCTTGAGGGACATATTATAAAGGGACATGTATAAAAACTGGGCTTTATGTATTATGTAAATAGTTATAAGATACAGATAGCTGTCGCTTGTGGAAGATATATACTGCTTAAATATTTTAAGCAAAATCAAAAAACCGGTTATTCAGTTTGACCAATAATCTGGTCAATAATTAAATTTAATTAAACTTATCAAAAATATATTATTTTTAATCAATTTTTAAACAGAATTAGGAATAAATTATTATTAAATTATCATAAAAAAGATTCATATTTTTATATTTATTAAATTGATAAAATAAAATTCTAATCAATTTTCATTTCAAACATATACATATTTCTATTTAAAAACTGAATAAATCTTTCATTATTTATTTTAAATTTTGTATATATTATATTATTAAATTTATTACTTTTAAACTTTAATACTTACAATAATATTATTGTAAGTTTAATTTTTATTGATATTAATATAAATTCTTTTATTTTGATTGTGCATACTAAAATACAATTCTTTTGAATTAATAATATTTTGTTATTACAAATAATATAATTAATATAATTAAAAACAATAATAATTATTAATAAAAAAATAAATAAATGTGTATTTAAGAAATTTAAATATTTAAATTTTAATAATAATTTAAATATTTTACCTAATTCTGTTTCTGTTTTGAAAATAAAGAATTCAAAGTGAATAAAAAAATAAAGAATATACATATATAATGATTCATTGAAATTAATGTTTTATAAATAATCTGAATAACCGATTCTGTTTCCAATTACTTCTTAACATGAAGACTAAAATAATTTCATTATATTATACATAAATATATACAAACATATTTTTCTCTTATGTCAACAATAATTCTCATAATTGATCATACTAATATTATACAAATATATGTATATATATGATTCATGTATTAATAATTAGATATAATATTAATTTTTAATATTAGAATACTCTTTAATGTTGAACGCAACAGTTGCACTTTAAATACAGAATCACATACCAGTCCATTGCACCTTATATTGATACAACACTATTATATAAATATTATCTTTTACTAAATGAATTATGAACTGCAAATTACACTTTATCAATTTTCGAAGGAAATTGTATTAGATCTTAAGCTAAGATTTCCTTATATCTTAGCTTTGAAATATTTAAAAAAGGGATAAGTTTTAATAATAAATAATTGTTAGTATTATTAAATTAATGTAAATTATAATCTTACAATCTTAACTCTCAATAGTGTTATAAGAACCATGAAAACATATATATAAAAGGTGAACATTATAAACGATCATATTCTATTTATTTGAATTTATTAATATAATTAACATTTGCTCTTACACATTCATTAAACACATAATTAAGGACAAGATA